TGCCACCACGCCCAGCAAATTTTTAGTGGAGACAGAATTTCATCATGTTGACCAGGCTGGTCTCCATCTCCTGACCTCATGATCTGCCCATTTTGGCCTCCCAAAGTGCTGGAATTATAGGAGTGAGCCACCGTGCCCGGCCAACAAGGTGCATTATTAACATCTATAAAGCTCAGGGAAGAGAGCTCTCATCATATTTTTATTTAATTTACAGTTTTTCCCGAGTCTTTGGAATAGATTCCTCCTTCCATGAGCCAGAGAACTTGCAATGTTCACGGCAGTGTCTTTAAATGTAGCAGTAGCAGCTGTGGGTTGAGAACACAAGTCTTCCACTCTCCCTTTTAGATCCAGCAATTCACGGTGCTCTGTGTTCCTATTCGGCATTGGGTAGGGGCATCTGGGTGCTGGACACGGCACCAGTGCCCCATGGAGGAGGAAGCCAGGAAGCCCCTTTCTTCCTTCCCTAAAACCTTTTTTTCTTTATGCAGATCCAAGTGTCTAGCCTATATCATTTTCTTCTCTCTGGATAACTTCTTTTAACATTTTGACAGATCTACTGACAGCAAATTTGTGTTTGTCTGAGACAGTTTTTATTTCTCTTCACTTTCTAAAGATAATTTTGCTGGATACAGAATTTTTGGTTGGTGGAGTTTTCTTGCTTGCTTGCATGGGTTCTGAAGAAAAGTTTGATGTGGTTTTTATTCTTATGCTAACATGTGTTAGGCCTTATTAAAGCTCAAGGTGGTTAGACTCTGGTGAAACAGTTTCCCTGGAGCAGGCTTTTGCTAAGGAGAACAGAACGCCCTGGGCGTATTTCAAAGTAGTTACTTTCCCCTTCCCTGTGGGGAGCGGGAGGGAATTTTTCTCTGATGTTCACAAGAGCCTCTGGCAGAGCTCTTGGAGGTTCATGAAAGCATAGTGCCCCCTAAGACTGGGCTCCCTTAAATCTTAATTTTCAAGTTTCTGTACACGGAGCCTCCAGCGATTTGTCATTTACATTTCAGTCTTCCCACTGTGGTTCTGGACCCGCAGTCAGCGTCCGATCCTGTTAGGCTGGGACTTGCTGCCTCTCCAATGTGGGGATAACAGTTTACCCTGTTAGCCTCAAGTCTCTGGTGGATCTAAGAAAAGTTGTTAACTTTCAGCTTCTTCAAGGTGTTTTTTGTTGTTGTTGTGAGGACAGGAGTGACCAGCATCCAAGCTGGAAAACAGAAGCCACATCTGGGTTTTGTTTCAAGATATTTTTCCAATTAGAAAGAATGATGCCACACACATTTCCATACATGTCTTTCGATGCAGCTGTGCATGTGTTTCTGTTATCCTAAGAGTGAAATACCTGAGTCCTAAATGTGCTACTTTCTAGAACTAGTATTCAATGCTAAACACAGTGTCCCCTCCAGTAGATGAAAGTTCTTGTGGCTCCAGATTCTCTCCAACACTTGGTGTTCTGTCTTTTACATTTCAGCCATTTTGGAGGATATGTTATCTTGTTGTGATGTTAATTTGCATTTACATGAATATTAAGTTAGTTGAACACATTCAAGTATTTGCTTTTATAAATTACATGCTTATGTCTTTTACCCATTTTTCTTTCTCTTAGTGATTTTTAAGAGCTCTTTACATATTCTGAATGTAAGCCCTCTTTGTCAGTTATATGTGTTCATAGATCTGTTCCCAATCTGCAGCTTGCCTTGTCACTTTCTTAGTGGTGTCTCTTAATAAACAGAAATTCTTAATTTGAATATAGTCTAATTTATCAATTTCTTCCCTTAAAACTATGGCTGTTTATGAATTACTTAAGAAATCTGTCCCCACTCACAGTCATAAAAATTGGCTGGGCACAGTGGTCCAGGAGAGCAGCTCAGAGGGGGGGCCCTGTGTATCCCTAAAATAAACGAATAACCCCCCTAAGTCACGCCTTGTCAGGACCCCATCCCACCCCCGCCTCACTGTAAGGGGTTCATGACACCAGCAGGGGTCCCCAGCACCTGAGCTAGACTTGAGGGCTTGGGCCCCAAAGACCTCCCCACCAGCAGCCGTGAGCCCCCCTCTAAGCCGCTCTCCTCTTCCCCACTCTGATGGGCAGGTCCAGGTGCTGCTGTACTTCCTGCAGCTGGAGGCCATCCCTGTCCCGGACAGCAAGAGACAGAGCATCCTGTTCTCCACCGAAGTCTAAAGGCCCCAGTCCATCTCCAGGAGGCCGACAGAGGGCCTGGAGACCTCTGACTAATCGGGCCAACCATAGAGTAGGAACTAAACCCTCCTGAGATGTCCTTGGGCCACCCCCAAGTGTTGGGTCATCTGCCAAGAGACAGCGACCCAAAGCGGAAGGACAGGTGGCCTGGGCAGATCCCAGCCAGGGCTGGGAGCCCCAGGCTGGCCTCAGACTGTGGTTTTTCCATGCAGCCACCCAAGGGCTCCCCAAGCCAGTGCATCTTAGAGTCCAGGTCAGGCCCTGGAAGACAGGGTGAAGGGAATGGTTTTTTAAAACTTATCGGAGTTTAAAACATTTCTACTGGATCACTTGTCAAGATGTGCCCTCTTCGGGGAGAAGGGAATGTGACTGGATTCCCTCGCTGTTGTACCTTGAATAAACACTGCTGCTTCATCCTGTGAGGCAATGGCCCTGTCCCTGTGTGGGTGGGGCCTCTTCCATTTCCCTGACTTAGAAACCACACTCTATTTAGAACAGGGTTTGAGACGCTAAGTCGACACGGGGTAGCGTTTTTACTCCATTCATGGCTTTCTTCTTTTTCTTTCCAAAAGGATTTTTATGCAGAAACGGGTCTTTTGTTGCTGTGTTTGTCCTCTTTGGAAGGCAGCTCCAGTAGGGGCAACAGAGCCCCGGGGAGGGAGTCCCAGGCCTACGCACTTTAGGGTTTGTCCTCCCGGGAGAGCAGCCTCATCTTCTGATCCTGACCACCCTCCTGGTGCATGATCTCCTGTTTAACTTCCACAAGCCTGGACTCCTGTGGCTTCTCTCTGCCCACACTCTCTCCCTGCCCCAAGTGTCCCCAGCACAGGTGGCTTCACTTCTGTTCTCTCAGCTCAGCAGACTCACTCAACTTTTTTTTTTGATCTGCCCTCCAGGCTGGAGTACAGTGGCTCCATCATGGATCACTGCAGCCTCTAACTCCTGGGCTCAAGTGATCCTCCAGTGTCAGTCTCCCAGGTAGCTAGGACTACAGGTGTGTGCCACAATGCCTGGCTAATTTTTATTTTTATTTTTTCTAGAGATGGGGCTTGCTACATTGCCCAGGCTGGTCTCAAACACCTGGGTTTGGTTATCCTGCCTCAGCCTCCCAAAGTGCTGGGATTACAGGCATGAGCCACCACACTCAAACACTTCGGGTGGTTTTAAGCCCTCAGTGAGGTGCACCAACAGGACCCACAAGTGGCGTGGGCCCCCCCTAACCCTCCCATCCATGCAGACCCAGGCAAGTCCCTCTCTCTGAATCTCAGCTACCAACACATACCATGCAAGTAGGAAAACGGGAGGACTGGGGGTGGGGCAGGCAGAGGCCACCTCTCTCAGGTCAGGCTTGCATGGGCTGAAGCCTGTCTTCCCATACCTGGGACATGACCTCCAAGGACCAGCTTGGTCAGTCAGTCATGGTGATGGGCTGGCTGGGGTTGGCAGGGAGCTTGCTCTCCTTCTCTGAGGGCCGGAGCAGTGTGGGGCCAAAGACCATGGCGAGGTTGTGCAGGGACTTCTTATTGACTGCTTCCTTCTCTGCCACCCTATAGAGGACCAAAGCAGAGGTGCTGTTTCAATGCCACCACCAGGAGAGAAGTAGAGGGGCTGGGCCATGTTGGAGTCCTCAGGGAGGAAGAGACCTTGACCTTGATCTTGACCCTGCAAACTGACTCCAGCCTTGGTACTTCTGGGTCTCAGTGGCCCAGGACAAGGGGCCAGCTCTGGGCTGGTGGGGAGGTCTCCTCTATGATCTGGGTGGGAGGAAAGAGAGGGGTACAACTACACTACTGGCCATGGCCAAAGCTCTGAACTCTTTGTTAAGGCCACAGTGCAGAGAAAAGAGGGTAGCAAAGAGGAGAGGCTGGGGCAGGGGTGGCAGTGGCGCTAGTCTCTAGAAGCTGTGAGGGACTGCAGACGGGTCGGGGGGAAAGGTCCTCAGTGCTGGGGGTCTGCTGGGAGCAGAAGGGCACCCCACGGCCTGGGGATGTGGAGCCCTGGGCAGCCACAGGAGAGGTGGGCTACCTTTTCAGGTGGTCCAGAAGGAAAAGGAAGGTGAGCAGGTTGGCCTCCGGCAGGGACAGCAGCAGGTTGAGCAGGCAGCTCTCCTTTGCAATGGGGTCTGAAAGAGCTGCAGAAGGCGGTGGGTTACTCCTCAGGGTCACAAGCCAGAGACCTCTCCCAGGGTGGTCTATGGAGCACCCAGGGCTCATGTCACTAGAAAGGCCAGGCCCATCATCATCCTCACTCCCACAGTGCTGGCCCCCAGTGAAGACCCTGTGAGGGGCGCCTGTGTGGGGTGTGAGCCACCCGAACACCTTTTCTCTACCTCACAGGAGTCAGTAGCACCCAGCAAACAGCAGCAGGAGGTGCCACGAAAGCAGCTGCTCCTGGTCAGAGCTTCCCTCGCTGCCGCCTCCTCCCCAGGGGAGCCCACGGCAGGGGAGGCTTGGTGTGGAATGAAACAGGAGACTGAGGGACACAAGGAGGGGAAAGGGCCCCAGCCCCACCAAATACGCAGAGACCCCCTTTGACACCCTGGACACCACAGGGAGAGCAGGTGCCACACGCGCCAGTGCCCACTTTAGACATCAGCCTCCAGGTTGACTAAGGGTCAGGCCAGGTTTGAACCCATGCTTGACTGGGCCAGGACCCATGGCTAGAGCACCTGGGTGCCCTTGTTTAGCCCTGGTCTGAAGGAAGGAGGACAGCAGACTTCAGGACCCCACAGCACGGCAGTGCTGACCATTTCACCCTCTTGGTCTCCTCGAGGAATAGGGATGGGGAGCCCTCTGGGGATGGGCAAGGCCTTCCAGGACAGGTTCAGTTCTGGTCCCCTGCTTTCCAAGGTTGTGTTAAAACACTGATCATGGCAGAGAGGGCATAGCTCAGGTTCCCACACCTCACTTTTCACAGCCTCCAAGGGCAGCAGTGCATGTGGAGGAGACATTTCCCACAAGGACAAGGCCTCCAGTGCTCACCGATGCCCTCAGCAAAGTTGGGGTAGAACTCATCAGTGAAGAGGGGCTCGGGCAGCTCATGGAAGTACAGCTTCAGCGTGCCTGCGATGGCGTTCACGTCCATCTCGCTCATCATCACCGACACGTCCTTGTTATCTGGAAAGAGCACGGAAATGCAGCGGCCTCCTTCAGGACCCTGAGTGGGTCTCCCACCACCCCTGCCTTGGCTAAAGCACCATCCCTGCCACACTGACCACTATGTGGGTCCCTCCCAGGCTTTGAGCAGCTCATCTGACTCCTCCCAAGAGCTATGTGTGGTTCTGTGTCTGCAGAGTTGATGGGGGTGCGTGGGCATTCCCATTCCTCTCCCCTGCTTGTTCCGATGTGATGTCCAGGAGGAGGCCAGCACGGCAGGACACAGTGCCTGCATGGGAATCAGGTGGCTCTGCCCTGTACATAGCAACGACCCCTGCACCAGTGTCTTCTGATAGCAGGAAGGCTGTGGAAGAATCTGATTGGTTTCAGTGTTTGAACTGGTGTCTTCCTTTGGACCAAACTGGCCACTGGGACTTACCTCCCCACCACAGGCCAGGTCCATTTTGGACTCCCAGAGGGAGCTAAAACTACCACAGGGCCCACCTAGGGGTGCTGGGCATTCTAGGGATCCTGGTCAGGGTGGATGGTGCGTGCCCCCAAAAAGGGTCTGCAGGCACAAAGTCCTGTTGCTTTGAAGATGCTGGGCAAGGACCCTCTGGGGTCTCGGTGCCCTCCCCTGGCATTTGGGCAGCTCCAGGTCCTTCATAGCCTCTGAGGGTTGGTGAGATGGAGGTGGAGATGTTGAAGCCCTGGTCTGAGCTGGGTCCCATCAGTGCCTTCTGCCCTCCACATCCTCAAGCAGGGCAGTGGATAGACTGCACTGAGTCCTGGGCTTCCATACCTCCTGTCCACCCCCAAGGCAGGAAGGCCAAGACCCTGAGGAAGCCCCTGGTGCACCCCAGCAAGCAGCATCTGTAACTAGGATGGTTTAAAAACTGGTTTCTACAGAAGTTCCTTCTACAACTCTTGTCTTCTCTTTCTTAAAAATAATAAAACAGTAAATGAAGAAAAGACACAGAGAAGGATGTGACATGCCCGGGTCATGGAGTGCTCTAAGATCTCATCACGGACACCAGCACCCACACCTCTATCCATCCTGCACAAGCTGACACTCACTGACGTCGAAGGCTGCCTTCAGCGCCTGGACGTCCATGGCCACTCCGGACACACAGTAGATGCCCACCTCCTCCATGCCTCGGCGCTTGATCTCCTCCACACACTGGCACACGATGTAGGGCACCTTGGACCTCTCTCTCCTGCAGGAGGAGGAAATGTTCTCAGTGTCCTGACAGCCCTGCTATTGGTCCACAGCACAGGAGACCTGCCCCCTCTCTGCACACCCGGAGGTGGGGTGAGGACGGTGATGAAGGCACCCAGGTCTGGGGCTGCACACGAGCCTTCTGCATGCCTGACCTCCCTCTGCAAGCTCGGTCCTCATTGCATGTACTTTCTCAAGACCTTTCTAAGAGGCTGAAGCAGACAGACCCTCTGCAAGTCACACATGATCTTTGTGGGAAAGTCAGAGCCCTGCTTAGTAAAGTCAGCACAGGAAGGGCATCTGAAAGATTCCAGATCTGGGGTTAGCAGCCTGTGCCCCCAGCTGGGAGATCAGGCCCGGTGTTGGTCCTGCCATCCATGTGCTGTGCGGGAGGACAATCCCCTGACCCCTGCCCCGGGCCCAGGCCTAAATAAACATCCGACGAATGAATGAAGTGTTGCCTCAGCACCAATGCCCCAAGTCCCACAATGCTAAGTGCTTTTCTCTTCTGAGTCTTAACAATGAACAATTTCAATACTGCCACACAGGACGCTAGAGTAAGACTCCTTCAAAGTTACAACACAGTGCTCTGCTGAGGCCTTAACTTTAGTTCTGTTTTGCAACTGGATTTGGGAGCACATCAAAGCTGCTTCTCAAGCCACCCTCATTAGCAGTGGTTATTTGGGGGAGCTGCTGCTGGAGTCCTCGCTGCTCATGCCCAGAGCCCTCCCAGAGTGCTACACAAGTGGCTGCCGTGTAGTTGGGGGTGAGCGTGCTGTTTAGACACAGATAGGAGTCCAGGGTATGATTGATGGAGGCCCCGGCCCACATGACCAGCAAGTTCAGGGGCCCAGCCAGATTCCATCCTGGGGAAGCAAATGAATTCTCTAAGGAAGTGATCTGTGTCTGCAAGAACTGCTCTCAAACCAACAAACAGGCTTCTCTTGGCAACTGACTCGTGACAAAAGGGCAGGGGTTAGTTACAACCATTCAACAGGAACCTGGGACCGTGACAAATTCCAAGCGAGGACAGAAAACCCTGCACTCGGGCAGTTCCTGGAGCCAGCCCTACTGCTTCCAAGCAAGGCGGCAAGGACACTCCTGAGCTGGTGTTGAGTAAACACAGGAGGTAGCTGAACACACCAAGTGTTCTCTGGGGCCTGACCTCACCATGCAGCGGCCACGCACAGAGAGGAGAGACCCACACATGCTTTTTTCTGCAGAAACAGCTGAAGGGACAGGCGCCCTCAGTGCATGAGCCCAAGCCCCTCCCCACTCACTTGGTGACCACAGCAATCTGGACTCCAAAGACCCGTCTGTTTTTGGGACAGCATCTTCTTCAAGCTGAACTCCCTGCTGGTGAACTTGACTGAGAACTTTACTTCAATCTATAGTGGGGAGAAGGGGCACAGTCCTCTAATGCTCCTGGTCCTCATAACTCAAGGTCCTAAGGGCCCCTGGGAGCCTCATCAAATATTTCTACGCAAAAGGCATGCAGAGGTCTCAGCGTGAGGTGAGACCACCCCTCAGGGAAGCCCCTAGTCTACTTCAGAAAGAGCAAGGATTTTGAAGGCCCACCTCAGCCTGCCAAAGTGCTGGGATTACAGGTGTGAACCCCAGTGCCCAGCCTTTCTTGGAGTCTTATACAATTAGGAGGCATCCAAGGATTTGAAATAAATTTGTATGCAAAATCTGAGGCTTACCCCGATTTGACTGTCTCTGTTACTGGATTTTGCCTCTCAACTTAGAAAAACTCTGGAGGCCCCAAACTCTAACCTCTGTATCATCAGCCTATTAAGACTACTGTTTTCTTCCTGAGATCTATTTCTCTGTGCAAGTTTTGAATTGTTATTGGCAAGAGAGTTTGTCTGATACAAACTAATTGGTGATTACTGGAACAGGTTTTTGTTTGTTTATTTGTTTGTTTGTTTGAGACAGGGTCTTGCTCTGTTCCTCAGGCTGGAATGCAGTGGCACAATTATGGTTCACCGCAGCCTCAACTCCCAGGTTCAAGCCATCCTCCCACCTCAGTCTCCTCAGTAGCTGAGATTACAGGCACACAACACCACGCCTGGCTAATTTTGTATTTTTAGTAGAGACGGGGTTTCTCCATGTTGCCCAGGCTGGTCTCAAGCTTCTGCGCTCAGGCAATCCATCTGCCTCAGTCTCCCAAAGTGTTGGGATTACAGGCGTAAGCCACCATGCCAGGGCTGGAACAGTTATTTAAAATATTTTTTTCAGGCAGGATGCTGTGGCTCATGCCTGTAATCCCAGTACTTTGGGAAGCCAAGGCGGACAGATCCCTTGAACTCATCAGGAGTTTGATGCCAGCCTGGCTAACATGGGGAAACCCCGTCTCTACAAAAAATAACAAAAGTAGCTGGGCATGGTGGCACGCCCCTGTGGTCCCAGCTACTCTGAAGGCTGGGGTGGGAAGATCGCTTGAGCCAAGGAGGCCAAGGTTGCAGTGAGCCAAGATCGCACCACTGTACTCCAGCCTGGGCCACAGAGCCAAACACTATCTCTAAGTAAGTAAGTAAGTAAGTAAGTAAGTAA